ATGTGTGAAAGCACAAGAAAAAAATTAACAAAAATTGTTAGGTGTTGGCAAATATCTCTGATTAGACTTGATCTATCCGAAGTTGAAAGCATGGGTTTTTCATGCCTTCTTGACTTCAATATTCTTATGTGTGGCAGAGAAGAGGAGGATCAAAGAGCGCACCAGATCACGGAACTTGAGAATGTAGAACATCTCAAGATATCTTCGAGTTTCACGCCTCTCAAGTTTCGAAACATACTTCCAGAAACCATAAACTCCAGCTAATGTCATCAGCCTCTCAGAATATATTTGCCATGTATACCTACAATGTTACAACTTACAAGGATCAAACATAAGCCTCACTAAATTAATGAATTGCTGTTTCCATCAAGACAACTAACCTTTCCTGGATCCTTTGAAGCCCTGCTTGGGAGATTTTCTCCCAGTAGCTGGGATCCTCCTGGCACCGCTGGAAAAAATCAGCCATAAGTTCAGCAGCCTTATCAGGGTGATACGGATCAATATGGAATCCTGATACACCATCTTCAATAATCTCCATAGGACCACCATGACAAGTAGCAATTGTGTGGAAGACCACAAGTCATGGCCTCCACCACTGTTAGTCCAAAAGCTTCATAAAATGCAGGCTGAAATTTAAACCCCACCACCAAGAGAAGGGAAAAAAAAGATAAAAAGGGAAAGTCTTAGGATGATTAATTGAATCAGACATTTAATAAATAAGTCAAAGCAAACTGCATACCTGCACAAACGCGCCTCTCTTGTCAGCCATATAGCGGTAAAGCTCACCATTACGCACTCGATTTGTTTGGGCTGCTATCCATCGAAATTGGCCAAGCAGGTTGTATTTCATAATGAGATCATGCATCTTCTCTATTTCTTGGATTTCTTCTCTGTCATTGGACTTCTTGACATCATTGTAACCTGCCACAATGACAAGGTTTGCCAGTTCCCTTAGCTTGCTATTTTTAGCATAGCATTCTACTAGCCCAGTGATGTTTTTCACCCGATCAAGTCTCGCCATGGAAAAAATTATGGGCTTCGATTGATCACTCAATGTACCACTGCATGAGGTCAAATATATGATTTGTTTAGAAATCAACAATTATCTGCCATTACTAATATCATCAGACATCCTACTTCATCTTGGATTCTCAACAGAACCACATTTAGAACCGGTTTAGCTTCAAATTTTAGGTACTAGGCAGACATACTAAAGGGAGCGCAGAGCTAACTGCTGAAAACAAAAATAAAGATCCATAGAAAACAGAGATGAATCCCTAGCTAATAGTAATATGGGACAAATAACAGAATACGGGACAATAAAGTACAAATAATTTTTAACAACGCCGTAAGACTTGAGGCATGCTGGAATTATATGGCAGACTTTTGGTGACAATGATGGTCTAAAAATTATTGCTGCGGCGTAAGCAAATATAAAAACTTAGGGCAGACTTCCACATTACTATTCAACTTGAAGAAAACATAGAATCAAGGAAACACTCACATATGTACATCATTCTGCTCAGGATCATACAATAACTCTTCAATTGAACCATGCAGCGCAGTAAGTCTTTTATCCTTGTCAGAATATGGGAAGTAAATGTCCATATCCGCCCCAGGAGAGACAATATTGAACTTGGTATCAAAAACATCAATGCCATGAACAACTCGGTAGAGGCCAGGCAAAGTGAAAGCTGTATGGCTTTCATACTGACCAACAGTATTCTTCCTGAAAAATAAATCAAGATAAGTCCAGTAAACTGTTGAACTTCTACTTTAGTAAAACTGCAAATCCAGATTGATCAGCACAAGTATCTAAGTGATGTTTAAATAGCAATGCGCTTAACCATGGTGACATCGTGGCTTGCCTGGATCAAGTGCAAGACATGCTCATTTTTAATAAGATAGTTTTTAGACTTTTCTAAAAGTATTTAAACCAATAAAATTAGCCTTGTTCTTTTAGATGTGGAGAAGAGAGAGTGGGAGAGAGATAACTCATTAAGATGAGTTGTCAAATATGTATGTGAGTGAGAAAGAGACTGGAAAATGGGAAATGAGAAGTCTATCAGGGAGGACTCAAAAGTGAGAAGCTACATATGGCATAACAAATGTCGAAAGACTATTTTAGCAACATAAAGAAGGCAAGCTGAAACATAGACTCGGTCAATATTAATAAGAACTATGTTGTGGAAAATAATTCATGAGCTTTATAACAATTACCTAAAATTTCCAATACAGGTTAAATGCATAGGTGGCTGCAATCTTCATCCTAAAAAAGGAGGTCTTATTGAGTCGTAAAATCCTTGTATTATCTTTCATCTTTTACTCTCAAATAGATCTTACATAGCTTGTTGTGCACTGTAAAGTTGTCAATATGGGCACTAACTTCATCGAGTAAGACTCTCAATTAGATTAATTTTACCACACTCATGTTCCTTATGATGGCAATTTATAAAATGTAAATACTTTGAATAACACTGTGCTAGAACCATGGTGCACATAGTCAACAAAGCCCCAAACATAACTCCTACGGTTCAGTAGCATGCATGAATTCCCTTCTCGAAGTTAATAACACTGATTAATAAAATCCTGAAGGTATTAAAACCCATTTCTGTTTTGCTGGGCGAGGCAAGGACTTCAATCACATTATGCGAGGATCAAACCTGCATCCTCATAAACAGTAGAGTAGAGAGAGGGACCCAGTTGCTATTGGGCCATCCTGTGTCCTCCGTTTTCGTATACACTAACATAAAATAATGGTCCTACATCTCTATTACCCATCGGAAAGAAAAAATAACAGTTTCACATTGCACATATTGCATTGGCAAGAAATATCAATATGGCTGAAGGAACACTTACGTCCCTGCTATCTCTTGGTATGTACTGGTGATGATAAAGTCTGAATGATTCATGGCTAGTAGGTCAGCAGTAAATTGACATGAGAAGTGATATTTGTCCTCAAATTTTTCCCAGTATATGTCAGAATCTGGATATTTCGTTTTTTCCAGTGCATGTGCGATGGTGCACTGCAAAACCGGAATATTCAAGGGTCGAACACCATTAGTGGAAATATAATTTAAAAAGTCTGACAAGATGAGCAAATCATATCACTCCTAACCTGTGTGACCCCCATCTTATATGCTAATAATGATGCGACAAGATTCCCATCACTGTAGTTTCCTATAATTAGATCCGGTACACCTTGTAACTCGGCGGCAATTTCACCGGCTGCATCCTGATAACAAAACACTAAAATAGGGAATACTACGCAACAAAACAAAAGCGTCATGCAAGCATAAAATCTTATACAAAAACATAGATTATTACTAATTTGAGTTTTAACATGGTGTGTGCCTGTTGATCATTTTGATTCTTCATATAAGAAAGAAATTATTTTGGCACCTTCTGAACAATATGTTGTGCTAGCATAATTTTGGCGGATCTGTGAGAAATGGTAGATAGCACGCTACAACAAGCTATATATTGAATGACTACTAAGGTGTTCCATCATTTGGTGCCACAAGCCAATAGGGAAGGCCAAGATTACTGTTGCAGAATGTTGAGCTGTTAACAAATTAATTTCTACAAGCATGGGACACCAGGAATCAGGGGGGTCAAAATTGAGGGTTACTCCAAAGTGGTCAGTAGTAGACAGTAGAATGGCGTTGTTCCTTGGAGAATTTGGAGGGTGATAGAGGATGTCAGGAAGGCTCTTTCCAGATTTGATGAGGTCAAAATTAGCCATGTTTACTTCCAAAGTAATAGACTAGTGGATGCCATAGCCAATGTTTGATATAGCCTTGATTTGTATAAATTGCAGGGAAAATAAGTTTCCCAGTTATGGAGGTATAATCATTGCATATGAATGGAGGCGAGTAGATGTCATGATGCATTAGTGCTTTTTGTTAATGCTATTTTTTCTACAAAAAAGGCCTGCTCCCAATATTTGACGAAAGTGAACTATTAGTTTCAGAATCAAAGATGCAATGCAGTTTAAATTAACATTGTACCAATGCTGCAGTGAAAACTCTGGCGTTGAGAAACATTATCGACCTTGCTGACCTAGAAAATAACTTTCGGATGATGATTGAACTCCCTTGTTTCCAGATGTAATCAGCATTTCTAACTGAAGATATTGTGCAAGGCAATGACACTGGTAGTGATGACACACGTGCGCAGGTGCACACAAAGGAAGAGAAAGCAGAAATGCATGCACGAAGGATCATATAACACGTATTAGTGGTTAAAACATTATCAGTTGGTTATATTATTTAACAATTACCCTTTTCTGTGACAATAAAATGCTACCTCAACTCCGGGATTTGTATCATGGATAAATTATTGTTAAAGCAACACATAGACACAGAATGAAAATAGAAATCCATTAACAAAACTAACATAAAACCACCACCCAATTCGTGAAAAGTTTTTCCCCTATAGGACCTAAAAATTGGTGATGCAACCCAATTTTCAGGATGCATCACAGCATATAACATAACTTTCCAGAAGATTATGCTTCTTAACAACTTGATTTGTAAGTGCCATTACAGACAGACTTGGCTAATTAAAACCTCTATTCCTATCCAAAAGGATAAAGAATAATCAAAACTTCAACTGCCAAACTGATCTCACCTCTGCAAACGTCTCCATATAGGGCCATATGTCAAACCTAGAGATCCATTTACGAAGAATCCCTTTCTCAGTTCGAAAAGGAACTCGCAAAATATGAGCGTATTCAGTTCCACTGATTCTTTCCAGCCGCTGGTTGCATGTGGTACCTTTTGCATCAGGTATTAACCGAGTAACCTTACACAACCAAAGAAAGTTGAAATATATTGTACATGTGCGCACTATATTAAACAACTGAGTTAACAGGAGTACACATATAGTATATATCACATATACACTTACAATGAGAATTCTAGGAGTGACATTCAATCCTTGCCGCTTTTTCCTTAAAAGCATCTCATTTTCCAGGGCACGCACTTGATCCAGTATATATACAATCTGTGTATCACAAATAAACAAATTTCTTGCAATATTTCCATTAGCAGCATTCATAATCACAAGCATCACTTTAATAAGTGAAACTTATTGCCACTTATATAACACAAACCAGAAAAGAGGCAGAAAGGAGCAGCTAGAGGATGACTAAAAGTTTAAATATGAACATAAAGTCCCATTCTCACTTTTGTATAATTTGGTATAGAAGATTAAACAATTGGTACCTGGCCACCAGTGTCAGGTAAGCCCAAAACATTTGCTTGGCCAAAGTATCCATGTACAGACAAAATGACCACATTAAATACCATGGGTATTCGACCAAGAAACATCTCTAAGGTAGATGGATCAGGAGCCTGAAGAATGTCTGAGAGGAGATGCATCATCTCCTCCACCCTTTGTGCAGTATCGCCCCAGCCTCTCTCAAATCCCATTTCTTGCAATCTGCATGTCAGTAATAATTCATAAAAAATGTCAACTTCTTAAATAGTCACCATCGAAATTAAGATCAGAACAGATTAGCTAGTATATAAAAGCTTACACATATTCAAAATAAGAGTAGGGTGAGCTTACGCATATTCAAATTCAGTGTAGGGTGTATCTGGTGATAGCTTAGAAAGATACTCCTCTGCCTTAGCCAAGGCAGACTCAAGTCTGGATATCCTCTGTATCCTATCGTTTAACATCATCACCTAAAAGTAATACATAGTTAGATTATATCAATCAGCCCTATGGTATTATCTCACACAAAAGACAGTTAATATCCAATTTTTTACACACAGTAGTTCTCAAGTGGATATCAAACAGATAATACACAAACCAAGGAGTACTGCTATACTTTTATAAAAAAAAAAAGTTGTACAACACAAGGACTTCCCAAGGGTCACCAATCCTAGTACTACTCTTGCCCAAGCACGCTTAACGGAGTTCTGGTATAATCGCAACCAATACTGCTATACACACTTATCAAAAAAGGGAGAAATACATTTCTAAAATGAAGATTTGGGAGATTATTAAAGA